TTAGCCATTTATCATTACAATAATATGTAGTTCTTCGTAAATAAAACAAAATCATACGACTTATATTCGGATTATAAAAAAGATTTACATACTTCACTTAACAAAAGTGTTTATATAATTGTAAACTCATATAATACTATATAATTACAACACAGCATATGTAATTAATAACATGTTTGACATATTTCAATATTTGGGATCACTGTGATTTAATATTTATTTGAAATTCCAATGCATATATTAATTCCTTTAGTTTTAACTAACAAAATCAATCGCCTTGGGTTTCACCTTCCCCGGTTGCTCAAGCCCAATTAGTTTCTCCCTTTTGCCCAACTATATTTCCTAGCCACGTTAACTGATTCAATTTAGATGTCTGGCTACGTCAAAGGCTGACCTTGCCCAAAGGCCAACAAATCAATTTGAGTATTTTGCTACTTGGCCTTGGGCGTTGGGTTAATTTGATTGATTGTCCTGGGGGTTAAACATATTCGAACCCAGTGTCGCCCAGAGTATGGATATCCGATTTTCCAATTATCATATCGTTTTTATGGCACTTTCTAGGCCTACAAGCTGGGAAATTATCACTGGCCTAATAAATTAAAACGCTTTATTTACGATTTGTGTCTGCTCCGCAGCTGCTTAAATATAAATAACACTCATTATGCGCAGCTCAAGTAAATATGTAAGCCTCTCCCCCAAAAACAACACATGTGGCTTACAAAAGGCAGTGACAGTGGTGCTGCCACGTGGATGTGGCACGTATCCACCCACCGGAAAACTTGGCGGTGCGTTCGGCTCAGCCGTAAAGTGGTGCTCTGCGGTGCCCCAAGAAAAATGTACTCCTAAATCTATGAAAAGTCAACGGGCGACGTGGCTGGAGCCGGTGGCACGTGGTTGTCCCTTGGCACGTGGTTTTGGTCTTCATCCTGCCGGCGACACCCGAAAACATTCTCAAAATGTACTGCGCCCCAGCACTTAGATCGTAAGTGAAGTAGGAAAAATATGCACGGTCATTTACATACACGAAAAGTCATACGAGTGCACCAGGAATATTTTTGAATACTTTTAACGTTCTTGATAAGTAAAACTAGCTTAAAATACCTAGTATTATTTATTTTTAATTATTTATTTAAGCATGATGTTTATTCATTGTTGATTCATTCCTTATTCATTCATTCTTCATCCCAGCATGAATAATCCAGTCTAAATAATAACAAATTTAAAAAAGTTTATCAATTATTAAAGAATCTTCAAAATGTAATCATTGCTTAGCTTAAATTATATGCCTAATAAGGCCTATTATAAGATTATGTAAAATCGAAACAGATCCTTTTATCTTCTTTGAATGCATCTCCAAATGTTGTTCTCAGTTACCTATACCAGTAAGGAAATCAAGGGAAATGCCATTCCTGCGCTGCCAATTAATAACGCATTAAACCGGAATCCTGCGGCCGACCTGTCAATTCCGCGCTTCGACTCGGATCAAGTGTCCTGTCCGTGCAAATTGCATATCCTTTTCACCAGCCGGGCTGGTCCTTTCTCGATTGGCTCAATCGTAGTCCGCTTAGATTGCCTCCGCTGCTAATTAGGCGATTTGCTTGACTTGCACTCAATTAGTGGGTCCGACCTGCAATTAGCCGGGGGGATTTTAAATTGGCTCTCAGCCCCGCAATCGGGTTCAATTCATTTGCTCATTTGTCATTGCGGGCCAGGTGTAAATGCTTTAAAATTCAGTCCAAATCTCATAAAAGTTTAACAACGCTGAAGCGAAAGGTAAACAGACTTGAGGAAAATTGCCGGCAATTACATTATTATTTGCATTTGGGGAGTTTTCCCCGTCGCCGACGACTGTTGTGCGTTTGGCGGGGAAAACTTCGAGGGTCAGGATCCTAAGTGGTTATGGCCAGGAAGTTGAAGGTGGAGGGTTGGGAAAGCTAGCGGGCGCCGTTTCCTTATTGCGAAAAATCTTTGAGCAGGTCCGAGGATATTATAGCCATTGCCGGCATCCCTCTGGAGTGTGTTTTTGTGTTGTATTGGCCGGGGATCGAGGCGGTCCTTGGTCCTTAGACCGTTCGTATTCATCATTTTTCGACCGTAGTTTCCGTTTCCGGGCGAAGGAGGTGTGAATGTGGGCGGACGAGGATGAGGACGAGGATCCCCTTTGGGGTTCGGCCGGGCTTAAACTTTTCATAAACCTTAAGTGGAAAACTTTTATTTTATACCCATCACAAGGTCCCCAAACACTTTTGTTGCCGCCGCGGCTGCTGTTTATGCCACCTATTTTGATTCAGTCAGTGCGGCCCGGTCGGAAATTGAACAATATGTAGGCTCACCGAAGTGGTCGCCGATGTTGAGGGCCAAAGTCACGTAAGGCAAAAGTTTCTCGAAATCATTTTAACGCCTTTTGAATTTTTTCTGAAAAGTTTTACCGCTCTTTTTTTTTGTTTTTTCCGCTTCCGTTTTTTGCTCTAGCGACAATCGCCTGAAAGTAGGCAATAAAAATTGTCAAACAATAAATATTTGCGGTAGGTCAGCGGGGTGAAAAAGGGGGGAAAGTGGGTGAAGTGGTGGCTAAAGTGGTTCAAGTGTTTGGGGGGTGCCGCATTAAAAACCCTGCCCCAGCCAAAACCCCCGGGGGAAACAATTTTTTAGTCAAATGGCATATATTTGTTTTATTGTTTTTATTATCACACGAGTGTGGAAGTTTATCCTGACATTTCTGTGCTTTGTGTTTCAATATTATCCCATGTTGCACTAATACCATCACCGGCATTTGAATCCTTTATTTTATTTATTTTATTTTATATAAAACATGTTGTTCGTTTTTCTTTAATATTAATTTCTATGTACATAAATTTAGTTGTTCGCGTTGATGTTGCCGGCAAAATTTTCGACAGGCTTCGCCGCATTTAAATGTCAAATGGTTGGGGCGTGGCTGGGGAAAAGTCATATTAGACTTTGGTCTAGGCCACATTGTATCTATTGATGCGCTGTAAATAGAGCTAATTGATGTTTATTAATAAGCTTAATTTAATTTTTTTATATATTTTTTGACATTATTTTTTACATTTTGTAGTACCAATTTGTGATAAATCCCATGGAGGGCACTTTTAGAGTCGTTGAGTCTAAGCCTTTTATATCTTTCATTACTCCCCTTGGGTTTTTTAAATGTTTAATTTATTTATGTATGTTGCTTTTTAAATTTATTTTGTTGCTGTCGCTGATAGTGTTGTTGGCTGTGGGTGGTGGGCGGTGGGTTGGTGGTTCGGTTCGTCCTTGCCGCGCAGTGGACATGTGCATATTTCATGACAAAATTGCATATTTTAGCGCAAAGCCAAAAGCCAGCGACGGATCCATGGCCGCCGGCACAGCTTCGGGGATTTTTTTCCCGTTTTTTATTTGCCCCGCCCACTGATGGTGTAAATTTCAAGCCAAGTGTAACACCTTTTTCCTGTCATGATGTTTTTAGAGGGTTTGGCAGAGTCGTTTGTGTCTGTTTTTCATTTTTTCCTTATTTTTTTATTTTTAAAACATTTTTCTTTTGGTTTTTTGTCATTTGTTTTCTCGCTCAAATTTACATACATCATAGTCATTGCAGTTCAGGGCATTTTGATGGGAACAGTTAACTTTTTTAAGCCGCAAATTGAAAGAAAATAAAATGTTAAAAAAACATCACTGGCTTGTGTTCGTTGTGTTCCTCTGATTTTGTTTGGTGGCGACTTTCAATTTTCCCAGGACCAACAGAAGGCGTCATCCCTTTTATTTTTGCCATTTTCTGTTCCGCCCCACTTTTGCCCTTCTATTCGAAATGTTTGTTTAGTGAGATTGATTTGATTTGGGCAGCACTCGAACATTGATCAGCGACAATAAATGTATTTGCCATCTCTTGTGTTTACTTGACGCAAGAAAAATATGTTTTTAAAGTTAAGTAAAAAAGCTTTAAAAATAAATTGTTCTACCAAAAATGAAATATGATGAACGTTTTTCTTTAAGAAATATACGGATTTAGGTATTATATTATTTTAAATTGAATTATCGATCAGTTTTCGTAGCGCTCAATCAATCGCAGCAGTTGAGTCCTGGCCTTGAATACGTCCGCATAGAGCTCTCCATTGACAGCTCCATCGGAGCAGTGTTGTCCATAGATGTCCACACCGCACACCCGATCCCCGTGGAGGAGCAGGTCCCCCTTGGTCGTCTGGCAGTCCACCAATCGATTGGAATTGAGGGCACACAACATGGTCCTGGTGATGAAGGCGTTCTCATCCTGGGCATAGCTCCTCTTGCAGTTACCATTGGCGATGAGTTTGGTGCGCAGGAAGCGAAGATGTTCGGCTGACATGTACATAGTGACATTGGCACTCCTTCGAAGTGGAGTGTCACATAGTTCAATCGGCTGGACGAATTCATCCTGAAGCGGAGACTTGAGCAACAGCAGGGCCAAGTCTTCAAGGGGCTCGAGAATTATGTTCGCCACCGAATAAATGCGACTCCGACTGGCCTGCAGTTTATAAAAATGAGCTTGGGGTTTGCTATGGGTCCTGGGAAAACAGTGGGCGGAGGTCAGGACCAGACGACTGGAGATGAGCGCCCACTGCAGATGACTTTGTTCTCATAAAGGACTCTCATTAGAAAGTGCTTGACCTTTGGCTTAATGGTTCGTGCTTGTCCCTGGTAAGTAGACTTTCAATTTCAGCTGGAATAATCTCCAGGCTGTTGGTTCCCTGGCGCCTACTGTTGGACCTCTAGCATTATTTTGGGTGATCTTTGGTAGGGATAGGGCACTATATACTCAATGACACGCACTATCTGAAAGGCCTGACCATTTTCAGGTATATCACCAACATTAATTTGTGGAGCGGACTCCGAAGATCCCCAAAGTGTACATATCCCTTGGAATATTACTAGTATTATAACTAGTTTTTCTAGCTGCATTATATCTGACAAACTAAACCATTTCCATCCAATCTCCACTTGAATCAGATTTAAATTTCCACACTTTAACCATTAAGTTGCCGTATCAAATCGTTGATCATGGGCTGCAGTTAGCAAGGTTTATGTAGAGATCACCATTGAGTGCATTGGAAAAACAGCGAAACCCATAAATATTTAAGCCGCACAGTGGTGGTCTATGAGTAAGGAATCTCCGGGGAAGTGGCACATTTCTCGGGTTCTTGGAGTTCAAGGCCACATCATATTGGAAGTTACAAAAACCGAATCATCTCCAAAAAAGTTGTCTTGCAGGCCCGATTCGAGATGATTTGAGTTCGACGACGGGCGTAAAATCTGAGATCAGGACTGGCCATTATCATGGAGGCATTAATGCCCAAGGGAGATCCCCATGCATATGTTAATTGGATTGTTTTCCGAGGGGTCTTCAGATGGAAAGACTTAGTTCGGGACACCACTCGGGTTTACTAAATTATCCACTTCAAAAGTTCTTCCGCCATGGAAGATGATTTCTATTTGATGAGGGATTTCCTTTAAAAAGCAAGTACTTGAGGTGATGCACACTGGGAGCCACCAAGGCTGCACTGCATCGGTGGAATTTCCCACCTTTACCTTGGCATAAAGCTGAACTCTTTGGATCGTACTTTAAGCATTCTGATCTCATCTCGTATTCCATTTCCTCCCTGCTGATTCGCTTGTATTCGTTGACGATGCGAACTATTTTATGGTTTTTGGGCAACTCTGGTGGGGGTATTCCTGTCTCGGATATATCACATTCACCCGACAATCCTTGCAGAGGATCCAGCTCCATTCCAATTGCCCCTTCGAAAAGCTGACAAAAGCAAAGCGCTGAAACACAAACAAGCAGCGAATGCATCTCCAATCGACTGATGACCAGCAGCTGACTTTTATTTATGGGCGAATGGAATTCGAGGCGCCTGTCAAAGCAACAAACGTCGCTTCGATCCACATGGCGTATGCGTAATCAAAATGTTTTGCCTGGTAAATGGCAAACATAAACAGTTGACGGCTGTCACTAGTTGGCAGTTGTTGCGTGTTGACAATGTGTCAGGTCTAATGACCAAACACCCGACGGACACACAAACATTTGAGGTGCAACCTGATAGCCTTTGAATCTGGGATTGAAGGTTTAAAAAATTCTAGTTCTATCACCTAATCTCTTAAGGTGAAAAAATATTCCTATAAATAAATAATTTTTTTTTTTTTTTTTATTTTTTTTTACAATAGAATCTGAATTTTTTTTCACAGGTATACATCAAGGTTCGTAAAATATCATAAGTATGAAAAGTATATAGTCGTATAAAACACATCATGAATAAACATAATATACTAAGTTATTTCTGAACCCTGAGAAAACAAACGATTTAAGAACTATCAAAACAAGAAAATCAAATCGAATTCGCGTTGTGGGCGTCTTTTGTGCAATTTGAAAATTGTTTTTGTGCATTCAGCAAATTAAGAAGAATGGCAGCCGCTTCGGCTGGACCTATGCTCATTTACTGAATTTATGGGCGGCGCTTAAACTGAATTGACAATCAATAGTCTCTGGAAGGACGAACCGGCGGCCTCGCAGGACCCGTAGGATAGCAGAGCTCATAAACAATGCGGCCAATTTACATGCCCAGGGATCGACCGCATGTGTGTGTGACTATTACAGTGGCACCATGAAAAGGACCTTGTGTTGCTTTTATTGTTGTCGTTGGAAATGAAAAATTGTCCCTTTGTTGCATATAAAAACAATGGGCCGAAGAACTTGAAATCAATTTCAAACGTTTTAGGCAAAGCCAATTGATTTATTTGTTGTGCGTTTTTCTCTCTTTTTGCCCCTGTTTTGCTTTTGTGTGGGTGTTTTTTTTTAGGTATTTGAGGACCATGGCCCATTGTTTTGTATTACTTTTGCCTTGAATGACTGGGAGCTTTACTCTTGCCCAGGTCCTTGAAATGTGGCACCATTTTGCACAACTTAAAGCTCAAAACAATTAACACTGAGTGCCGAAAGTCAAGGGCTTCGTTCGCTGTTTTTCGCTTTACACTTGATAAACTTTTTATTGCTTCCAAACAATTTAAAATCGAGAGCGAATGGTTCTTGTCGGTGGCTCCCTGAATTACAATAATGCTCCGGTTGGGTTCGGTTTGTTGATGGCTTTGGCCAATTGGCAAGACAAACGGCTGCAGCTGCTCGGTATGAAGTGATGTGGATGTGGCTGTAGAGTGGGGCAATGACAGCATTCGAATTCGAATTGGTAATTGAATAAAAACAACGTTGCAAGTACGTAAAGTGAGCTGGCCAAACAAGTTCCAGATGGACTCGGAGAGATGGGGTCTTATGTGGTTCCCAGGCCTTGGTGGTTAAATATGCACCGGTAAAAAAAGGGTTCCTAACTGGTATGTCACTGGCAACAGTGAAAATAAGCAATAGCAGCTGTAAGCCTTCAATTCGTTGCTTTATATGATATATTTTTATGCCATTTATAGTGAAAACAAGCAGATTTAAATTGTGTCTTATTACTTGAGTCCATTAATGTGAATCATACTTTACCATCTGATTCTGGGATTCTTGTTACTTGATAATATGCACATTTAATTACCATATTATAAAAAATGTTTTTTAATACTCAACGATCTTTGAAAACGGTTGCTTAGGAATGATTTCACTTTAATCCGACCTACTGATCACTTATTTTTCCCAGTGCCTGATTGTCCGCTTCCTGACACATATCGCAATGCAATGGAGCATGAAATAAATGAAGAGGCCGTTGGTTGGAGGCGACTGGAGAAGTACTCCTTGCGGCGGTTTCCTTCCAACCAAAACAAATGCCACTCGAAGCCAGGCAAACGCCCACGATGCCACGATGCCACTGATGGTCTTTGGACATTTTACGCCTTTTACACAGTTGACTGCATAAATTCATGGCCAGGATATGGTTACGCATTTTAAACAACGCTCGTCGGCTAAATCCGGAATCAAGACAAGTGGCTCCTTTTGGATGGGATGCGAAGGACCTTTGTTTCTTAGAAATGAAAAGTATCTCAGCAAACATCGGCATATCTTGGCTTGAGATTCACCAAAGGGGGTCGGTTGGTTACAAATAGCTGCTTCAGCTTAAAGCTGATTTAACAAAAGTTGCCTTCTTTCGGGGCTCGGCTCCACTTGTTGCCCCTGTTTTGGTCTCGAAAAACCCAGGACCAAGTTTTCTTTTGGCCCCCGAAGCATTGCTCATTATTGCGAAATGTTCGGGGGCTAAGCTTTAGTTTCAAGTTTGATTTGTTTACACATGAGTTTTTGGCGAGACCGACGGGAGATTGTTTTGCTGCCAGCTAACAAGTTGCGAATTAAGCTAAAATGTGTATTTTGGCAAGAGTGCAGAGTGGTGTGTGTTAGAGTGTGTGTGTGGAGGGCGCTTGGCAAGGACTTTGGTATACAAATACATGCATGTAAACGAGCATAAAAACCGCACAGTCAAACGCACTAACAAGCAGCAGTAATCAGTGTGGCAGCAACAAAAGTGAAAAACCAACAGCACATTTGCAGCATGCAGCAGGCAGCAAGCAGCACATGCAGCAGGAGGAAATTACATGCACAGAAGTTGAAACAATAGCTGCAGGTCTGGACCAGGCCGGGCTAGCTGCTCATCACCAAGCTAGCCATCGCCATCATCCACATCCTCATCCCCATTTTACCCATCATCCCCATCATTATCATCATCAGCAGCAGGAAAGCAAAAGCAAAAGCATCAGCAGCTTGCTGCGGGCGGGACACCTCCCCCAAAAGGCTATTGACCCAATTTCTGGGCAAACAATGGACCAGCTGAAAAGAAATCACAAAAGCATAGCCAAATCTCGGGACCGAGCCAAAAACCACTTGACAATCCCAGCCAGATCTGCTGGTTCTACTCTCACACAGAAAAAAAAGAATCCGATTTATCTTACTCTAATCCGAAAGTTGATGGTCATTTAAGCTGAAGCTTAGTAAAGTCAAGATATTATTTTTCAGTTTACAAAGGAAGCTTTCTTTAATAACATAGTCACTTAGGTAACTAAATGAATTATGATATATATTATTTTGAGCAATTTTAAGATTTATTTGGCAAAGTTCTTATTTATATATAAAATTGTTTAATATTATTAGCTAAATTAATATGTCATTAATCTGCATTGAGTTATATTTCTTAGCACCTTGAAATCTTTTTAAAAACTGTTCGTTTTAATGGTGGGTAGATAATAATACCTATAACTCGTAATCATTTAAGATCCCTAACTATTTTATTGTAATCATAAGATGTTTAGTGCTTTGGAAGATTTGTATTATAAATTGTTCATTAATCTTTGAATGTAAAGCCTATTATAACTTGTTAATTTATGTTCTAATTGGATTTCAATAACTGAAATTATATGGAACTCACTGATATGCTTTCCATACCCCTTTTCCTAACAGTGCATCTGGTTGTCTGGACGGGGCGTTGTGCCAAATGTTTTGGCTATGAGCAATGTGTTTACCAGTGTCCACAACTTTCCCGCGACGCCCGCTGATTTCCGCTTTCCCGCTTTCGAGGCGACGGCTACAAAACAAGTGAAAGTTTATTACATCTCCACCATTCAGAAAGCCAGCCAACCAGCCAGCCAGCCGGCCAACCCAATGAAACCGGGAAAATCAATAAAATGCAATTGCATGGCAAATGACCCATATAACCTCAGGCCCCCAAAAACCCAAACCCAAACTGGAATACCCACTCGAACCACGGGAGCAGATCAGGCCAGTTCATGGCCTCGTCCTGCGGCAAGGAACAGTCATCGAAGGACGAAGGACGAGGGGAGCCTGCGGCTGAGCGTAATTGTGCCAAATTATAAATTATTTCGAATTTACCAGGGCGCAAACGATGCTCCAAGGCGCCGGTTGCCTTTGCCTGCAATTAATTTTGTGCAGCGCCAATTGAATGGCGAATGGCGAACGGAGAGTAATCGGTGGCGGTCTTGGTCTTCCTCCTCCAGGAGGAGCTGGGGCGAAGGGGCAGTGCCTCTTCGAGGGCAAAGGCTAAACGCATAATTTAAATTTCTAATTAACAGTCAAATAAATTGTGCCGGCTGCCAGCGTCGTGGCAATTGAGCCGTGCCAAGTGATTTTATGGCCAAAATGCTCATTAAGTTAACGGCAATTTGCAGCCGCAGACAAATGCAGGTGGATATCGAGGTTGAAGCTAGCTTACCTGCAGCTTACTTAAAGGGTTCATTGCAAATTGATTCGAGGGTTTGCCGGTTAATGAATAGTGACTATTAGCACAACGACCACTGATCTCGGCTCAAGGGTCCTTCGATTAGTTGGCTTTGACCACACTGCGTATGTGCGATATTTGATAGATGTTTGCTTCGGTGAATGCCTTGTTCTTAGTGTAGCACGGACTTAATGAATGACACTTATGGCACAACTAGATTTTGATTTAATGTATGGAACCTTGAAAAATATTATTAAAAATATTTAATATTGGCAAATTTAATAAGATTTTTAAAATTCAAAAAAGAAGTTATGAAAGACAACGATTTTAAACTAAGAAAAGTGTTTACAAGTTTAATAACATAACAATTTATTTTCTAAAAAGATTTATAGTTTTGTAAGAAATCGTATCTTAATTATTACATTATTTGAATAGAATTAAGCTTATTTCGAATTTATTTAAGTTTATAAATTATAAATGTTTCGCATTATGAGAGCCAATAAATATCGCATATTGGCATAAGTAGATTCTAATAGATTCCAATCCGCTTCAATGGTCCATTGATTAGTTGCTTGTTGCACTCAGATTTCTTTATTAGGAGCTTAATGAATAGCGACTATTAGCAGAATCGCCTTTGATCCTTTGGTTCAATGGGCCTTTGATTAGGCTGCCCCCTGCAACACTGCGTATGTGCGATATTTGCCAAATCAAATTGTCAAAGGAGCGTGTGCAGCACTCAACCAGAAGCGTGTGCATCGAACGAAATTGAATTTCTTATCATCACAGTAGTGCTAGAGTTTTCCTTTTTTGTCGCAGGCTATATATCTTTGGCACCGGCTGTTCGCTCGGCGAAAAACATTCAATTAGTTTGATTTACACTTTTCAAAAACGTTGGCTGGATGGATGGATGCCGATGACGATGCCATTGCCGGTGGGCGTCTTGTTGCCAAAAGCCGCCTGTGTGCTTGTGCTCCGGCTCCCTTTGTGCGACTGTTGGCGTTTCCGTTTCCGCTGTTTAACAAGCGACTTTTGGCAACAACAGCACAAACAACTCGGGTGGTAGGAGGAGCAAAAGGCAGGAGGATCAGATCAGGAGCAGTGCCAATACCGTGTACCCTCTTGCGTGCCAAAAAAAACCAGGGGTTCAGCCCGAGCTCCAGCTGGAGCTTTCCATTTCCATTGCCATCCAGTTTTCCGCCGGCCGTGGAGCGGAAACAGTTTTCAGGGGACCCCTCCTCGTCCTCATCCTCTTCCTCCTCCAATATTAGTTTGGGGCGGCAGCAAAACGCTTCCGGCAGCCAAAATGCCATGAGTAGTTGCTGTTGTTGCCGGCCAGGGCCATTCGATGATTTTTCAATTTGCATTTGACACACAGAGGCAATGTCAAAGAGCAAATTGAAATGGCACAAGTCTGCTGGAACTTATAATCATATGCAGCGCACAGCCTTGAGAGTTCCGTCTGCCGAATGAGAGAATCACAATCAGAATGAGATTCGGAATCAGAATCAAGCTTTGACTTTGTGCCCATCTCGTTGGCTTGGCTTTCAATTAGGTAATTGAGAGGCGTTGGCTGTACCGTGTTTAAGGTTCTACTTCCACTGTCCAGGTGTCCAGCAGTCCAGGAGTCCAGGAGTCCAGAAGGGCAGGTGACCATGTAAGTGTAAGTGGGCCATTTGACAGGGCCAAAGTTAAATTCGAATATTAAATGCAACCCCAGAGGGAGAAAGGCAGCATGGTGTTCAGTTCGGCATGTCAACTTCATTTGTTGAATGACATAAGTTATCAACGAAATTGCTGGAGAACTGACCCCGAGCAAATTGCGTTGGCGCCCCTTTTAACTTTATCTGGCAGTCGGTAAGCCCCATGCAGAACCCTCACTTTGTTGCAACCAGTTCGTTCCATTTCATTTCACTTACACACCCTCATCCAGGCACTGGTAAAAAAAACTTGGGGTAATAAATTGGTTGTTTGTTATATTTTTTAAATATATTTCTTCGGGTCAAGAGGAATCAATATATTACCAAAATGGTTTCAAATAAATAAATCACGAACGCTTCAAAGCAAGAGGAACTAATTTAACACACTGACATTTTTGGTAGGCTTCGTTATATAGAGGTACAGATTTATTTATGAGTAATATAAGAATGCGAATTCTTTAGCAAAAGGAAAAAAAAACATTATCCAACATTTTAAAGATTTCATTTAATTTATGACGCGATATTTCTATTAGCTAACCCGACTACGTGATTTATAACCCATCGTGGCATTGTCAAGGGAATACCAAATTTTGCGTACCCTTTTCTTCCAGTGCATCTACGCACACTTACACTTACATGCCAATAATCTGCACGTCAGTCCCTGGTTGTATGCAATTGTGTGTTTGCCTTCATTTCAATCTTTTGCCACTTAACAAATGCTCACCCAAGCGCCCCGGGAAGCGGGAAGTTGCCCCAGAAACCCAGGGAAACCAAGAGGGGGATGGAAGGGGGTAAGGAGCTACTGCATAAGTTTAATTTTATTATACGAAAACAATGCAACAAGCAAGGACATTTCGCACAAGAGGCAGCTGGCAGCAATATGGCAATTTGTTCAAAGGATTTAGAGCTGCATTTAGAAGCCAATAAAGGCAAGTTAGCAGGCAAATTGTGTGGGTGAAAGTAGCGAACAATCAGCAGTTGGCGCCCAACGACTCAAGTGGATGCAGGATCGAATTTATTCATATATATATATTAGCTTAGCATACATGTGGGGACTTTCAGAAATCGCAAATTGTAGTAGGGGAACCTTGACGGGATTTATAAAAATGTAGCTGCAAATCACACATTTCAATAAATTATTTGTTTGCATTTATTTATTGATGTTGAATGAGAAATCAAAACTTTTTTCAACAAAAAATAGCCACCGAAATTTTCATTAAAATGTCAATGAAATTGATTGCGAAATTAAATTTTGGTTTGAAATAAAATAAGAAAATGTGATGGTTCAATAATATATAAAATTCAAACTGCTATTCAAATAGAGTTATTTAATTAAAAAAGAGTTAGAAATTACACATTTATTGGTAGGAAAAAGGGACAAATTATTCATTTGTTTTTAAAAGTCTTTTTTTTTATTTCCCAGCAATGCTGTATAGTTTTATCTTGAATATTCAACAAGAACATCGATTTAAAGACTTTCCTTTGGCTGATATACATCATTTAGCTGACGATTTGGATATTTAAAGCCCCTTTAATCAGGTCCTTGGACGAGCAGATCTCCCTGTGGTGTCGGTGGCCAGGGAACTCTGCTGGGAGACTCGCTTCCTTCGGCCGTAATTTGCCATAAAATAAGCATAAATTGGATCAATTTACGAAAAGCTCTGTTACAAATGCACAGCGAGCAGTGGGCCCACAATAAGAACGCCGCCATATATAGTTACAGTTGCAGTTGCGATGGAGCAAGTACCATCTAGCAGATATCATCCACCCATCCCATCCTGGCCAGAGTTCCATGTCAAACGGCGGAGGCTGGGTCCTGGGGTAATGGCCATCCAAGGCGGTTGCTCTGCTGACAGCCCTGTGGTTTCTGTCACGCGCATTGAATCTGAAGCTGATTCTCCAGCTGAAGCCGATGCCTCGGTTGCATTTCACTTGACGTCCTCTCCCACTTGTCGTCATCGCTGTCAGTGCCGTTGAGGAGGAGTCCTGCGAGTCCTGCAAGTCCTCCGAGTTGTCCTGGCCGTCCAAGGAGCCTCCGTCATCCGGCTGCTTAATGTCAACTCTTGGCGTTTTGTCTTAGCAGCCACATAAAAAAATTGAATTTATGATAGGGACTTTGGGATGTTTTTCGCATTGTGCTGGCCACGCAGATTTTGCACCGATAGCTTTTGGCCTGGCTCAGCAACTCAATTCCATCGTAATGCTGCTCCTCCGGCTGCCAGCGGATTTCATTTCAGCTCCCTAACGGAAATCAACTGACCGAACTGGCGAATTGCAAATTTCAAGTGAATTTCGCACTTTTCAATCTAAAATTTCATTAATTTTAGCGATGCACTTACACTTGAAGTTACACATTTTTATACATTTGAGATTTAATTTGATTATATAGCGATTTATTTAATGTATCTTACCAGAGAATAAATATATAAATGTTATTCGTTTTGGTTGGTATGTTGCTAATTTTATTATCTCTATAAATCTTTTTATCTAAGAGTTCTTAAGAAAACTATGATTGACTTCAGGACTTCAGCTGGAAAGGAATTTAAAGGAAAATACAATTTTTTTAAGAAATATTATTAAAATAAATACAATTAAGGAATACTTTTTTTTATAAAATGGATTTATAAAGGAGAATTCGAGTCTAAAACGTGCTATAAAAAATAGTACCTAAATCCCTCCTTTCCCCTGATTTAATTTTTTTGTAATGATTTCTACTTAGTACCTCTTTTTTTCAAGTGCACTTGCTCCATTCACGGAATGGTTCCTTTAGTGCTGCTGACCAAACACTCAGTCAGCGGGCTCATTATTTTTAGTAACTGCCTTGCTGCATGTTTATAATGCGGCTGCACATTTGGTTTTTAGTAATTCTGGATTTGGCTGATATTAGCCCGGCTGTGGCGGTCCCCACGTGTATTTCTATATTTCCACCCCGAGAATATATATGTTTTTGGTTTTTAGAGGGGGTGGAGCGGAACTACACATTTGCTCCATGTTTGCCGCCGCTGTGCTCCGTGCCCAGAGAATACTTTAATGATGTTGTTTTCTTCGAATTTCAGTTTATTTATGCAGTCATGTGTGCCGCGGCTTGTTTACCAGGCATTGCATTATATAATTTCAGTTTGCAAAATCAACATGTGGCAATGGCTGCTGTTGGTCATGCTGCCTTTTGGCTCATATAGCGTGTATGGTATATGCGGCTTTGGGCCACATTCTGTATGGCTGGCCGTATCGTTATTGAGTTGGTTCCCAGTTTTTAGTATTCAGTTTCCAGTTTTACGGGATCCCAGTTACCCAGTGTTTGCGCACTCGGAGCTGCCACACAAAAAGCTGGAGTCGCCCCCGTGTGCGAAATATAAATGAATTTGTTCAGTCGAAGCGCGTTGAGTTTTTGGTGCCATTCAAAATGGGTTCCGTCCCCCCATTTCCATTGCCATTTCACCGCCCCCATCTGTACCTGACACAAGGCAAGGCAGCCACCGAAAATTTCATATTCATAATTTAATTAAATTAACATTTTGTTGAATTATGTACTTACATGACTGTGGCACAAAATATGGTTTAGGCATGGCACGGCATGTCATGTGTATGGCCCAAGGGATTTACATCTTTGCCAGGATCCCCAACCCGCGGAATTTCACCCATATTGAATTGCCTCCGAGTAGCCAGGACAAAATATTCCCATACATTTGTTCGGGATGAGTGCAGCAGACCAGAAAACCCACATAAAAGTGGGTTAAGCCAAAGAATGGGAAAATTAGTGGTATTAGATAAAGCTAGGGGCCTTTATAGGCAGACTTAAACGGTTCCTAACGTAAAGGAAATATTTAAAAGTATAGGTTTAAATGTTTAATTAATAATACAAAATAACTAACTAAATAAATGTAATGCTGCGGTTAAGAAATATTAATAATTATATTGCTATCTATCCTTTAAAGGGGGTTTTCCACAAAAAATTCCCTAAGTCAGTTAAAGGAATAAAAAGTAATATTTATAAACTGAATATATTTATCCTTTAAAAGGAAACAGCTAAGATGTCTGTAACAGTGCCAAAAAACAAGCAGCAACATCCGGAGACAAGTGTTTAAATTACATACGACATTGTTCGAATTTGTTTATCTTTCGATTTTTTCGCCAGCTTTGTGTCATTGAAGGCGCTTTTGGCAACGAGACTGAGACTGAGACAGGCCAAATCGCACTCATACTCACCTGACCACCGGACCACCTGACCATTGTCCTCCTGGCAAGGATACTCACGAGATCTAAGGGATGGAATGGGATGGGATGGGATGTGTCACTTGTAGCAATTTGAAGTTTACAGGGTCACTGGGGACCTCGTTGGGGACCTCGTTGCCCATAAAGGATGGCAAAAACTTAAAGACAATGGCAGGCAGGCAGACGTAACAAAAACGTAATCTACTCAACAACTTACTTTGCTTATACTACAAGGATGGGGATCTGAAATCAGTGTTTGCGGATGTGGAAGTGGCTATGGATTGGGGGTGGTGGTCTCTGGGTTATTGTCTTGGGCATCTTCTTCTACTCTTCGATTCGAGGACGACATACGACAAGTTTTTCGAATAAAACCAATACAAGACGCTGGCGACACACTTAAGTATGAACAAATAACAAACTAAATAAAATGCCAAAGACACCAGCCCGAGGGGCTGGCTACAATAACTGTTTGGGGAAGGTCTTAGCCGGGCTATATATACATATATATTTATATATGAAAATCTGCTTTGGCTTTGTGAAAAAAAAATCGTATTTAATTTTTGGTTTTGTTTTCCCTGCTTGCGGATTGTGTTTTTATTTTTGCATACAGCATCAAAGTTTTTGCTACTTGAAAATGTGAAGCAGATAAAAATAATGGAAAAGTTTTGCTCACTTTTTGTGAGGAAAGTGAGAAAGTGGATGATGGTTCCTTCTGCCAGTCCATATAGTGCCATATGCTAGTCTTCGGTTCGGTTTCTTTGGTCCTTTGGCCTGCAAGTGGCAGCGTCTTAAGGTGGCAACTACTTAAAGTTCAACTTTGGCTTAAGCACTCGCTGCAGGCTGCAATTCCTCGTTGGGGGTGTGACACCTTTTTCCACCGGTAACAAGGCCATTTTATTTATTACCCTACCCAGTTTCTTTGTTTCCACTCCGGTGCTTAGTCCTGAATCACGGGTTTTTATTGCCGACGCTGCCTGCCCTACTAAGCTGCAAAGTCCTTAGATAATAATCCGGCTTTCTCTAGATGCGCTTAATAATAAATGACAATGGTACTTGGCTTAGTTTAACTAATCGGATTGGGAGAGTGCATTCGAACCAATTAAATCTCACATGCTAATGATGCACCGATTCTATAAATTCGCTATAAAGGTGAGTGAAATGCGAGTGAGCTGGGAATCGCGTGAATTGGGATAATCCGCGGGTTTCCAACGGGGAAAGCATTTCCAACACCTAGGAATAGTCTCACCTGGCTGAAGTGCACCTGTGTGGGGGTGTGTCGGTGTGAGCCACAATGGCAACTAATCAGCTTTTTGTGCAACACGCGCGAGTGTTGCCTAAGGTGGTAATGGAATGATTCGGCTCTGGATTTGCCTGTCTGACTACACTGTACTACACTACTACACTATACTACACAAAAAGAAAAAAAAATCAGACTTCATACCAAGGTTTATGAAAAAGGAGGGTTATGCGATGAAAAATGTTTTGACGGATGATATATAACAAATACAACCGAATTTGTGTGTTACTATTGGTCATGGTACATATTACTCTTAATAACCACAACGTTTATAAGAAAGATACTAAAAAATATGTCTCTAATATTTTTTTCTTGGATCAAACCTTTTTTATTAAATATAGTAAAATCGTATATAATATATATTTGTTTTAAAAAAGTACGTTTAAGATTTCTGTAGTTCAATTATAACACAATTTTATAAACATTATTTGGGAAAAATAGGATTTAAAATAAGATTTAACAAATATAACAAATACTAATCAAATCTGATGTCTTATAAAAAATCCTTTTTAAGAAAGTCCTAGATTTCCTCCTTGCTCCAAGTGTAAGCTTACGTTCGGTAATAAAATTTTCGAAACTCATGGCTTTTTGAGGCCTCAATCTTTTCCGTGTGTACCTGCAACTTTTCAGTTGTTTCACTTTGGGGAGCTGAATTTCACTCGAAAGAGGCAAGGCAGTGAACCGTGTAGGTAGTACCCCTCGGTAGTACCGCCCCCCCACTGAATCCACCACCCACCGAACCACCCACTGCACCAGCACTCGTGACTGTGATTTATTTACCGTTGAAATTATCTTGTTTTGCGGTTTGATGCATCGCATTGCCAAAGTAACTTTATTTTGCACTCGAAACCTTTTTGCACTGCACCGCGCAGAGATAAAAATTTACGTTTCGGCTTTCATTTTCTTTTTGTGTGTTCTTTTTTTGAGTTTTCTGTACGTTTTTTTTTTTCGTTAGTCCACGCTCCTCACTTTGTGTGTGGCTAACTTTTCAACTAACGTCGACTTGGGTGAAAATTGACTTTGCAGGGATCCTGGGATACCGGGGATACGGGGATACCGGGGATTCCCCCTGCTAGGCGTTCTTTTAGTGCATAAAACTTTTGTGTTAGACTATCAATATTTGCGCCTGTGAGGGCGGACTGTTTATCTAGCTGCAGTTTGAAGTTTGTGTGCATGCTGCGGTCGAGCTGGGGATTCAAGCCTCTATAGAGTCTACAGATGGGTTGCGATGGCGAAAACGCAACACTTTAGTTTAATTGGTAACCAGGCGAGCTGTGTACATTTTTAAGTAAGAGTTAATATTTAAGGGCTTCAGTTCGGCTTGCTCTGCTAATTTGACACTTGAATTTGAAAGTTTTGGTGGACAGCGAGAGTTTTGGAGATTCTGGTTTTCTGGCCAGGCCGCATACACGAAAATGCCATATCAAAGCAGACCACACACGTCACAATCACACACCAACACACAAGTGGGGATGGTCCTTTGGTGTGTTTTTCTAACCCCCCTCCCAGGCCCCATTACACCAACACACCACGCCCATGCAAATGAGTGTGACACCGTGTGTTTATCATGCTTAAATAGCTTACACAATTATAATAATCCCCACTGCCACTAAATGCAGACAATGTCCATGGAAAACACACACAATTTTCGGGCCAGCA